TAAAGTCGAAAAAAGGTGAACAACATTGTTACAGAACTATAGATACTTTGAGGCTGGGCATGACAAGGAGTGGTTGGGAGGGGAGGGGCTGGGCGAGGCTCCCCTCGACGTGAGTGATGTCTAGTTGGCCACGGCCACCCAGCACACCCACCCAGTCACATGTCCACCAAACCACACCCACAGAACCAGTTGTTAAAAAATTTGGATCCCACCACTGCTTATGACCATTGCAGAATCACCGTGGTCACATGATCAAAATTCAAAAAAAAAAAGTCAGTGGGGAAGCCAGATTCACTTAACAACCGTGTAACTAACTTAACAATTGCAATGATTCACTTAACAACAGTAGCAAGAAAAGTCACTTAAATGTTTCACTTAGCAACATAAAGTTTGGGCTCAATTGTGGTTGTAAGTCGAGGACTACCTGTACTGAGATTCTTTAGCATCTCTTCCTTCAGTTCATAGAAAGTTCCTGTGAGAAAAGATGATGGTGTTCTTCATGAAATGGAACCTGCAATAATATCACTAAGCTTTAAGCAATCCTAGAATTGCCTAAAGACTTCTTTTAAGAATTAATCTTTAAATTCATCAATATGAAAATCTGGGTAGTAGAGATAGTCCTCACTTAACAATGGGAGTTGGGACCTGAATTTCTGTTGCTAAGTGGTTGTAAAACATGCCATGTGACCACCTCACTTAGTGACTGCAATCCTGGCAGTCCCCATTGCCATCATAGGATTCTGACTTGGAACTTGCTGTTGACATTCAACAAGCAAAGTCGATGGGAATCCAGCAAGAAGTCGCAAGTCTAGGTGGTTCACAAGCAGGTCAGCAGGACAGTGAGTGCAGAGAGGTGCTTCAAAAGTATAAGAGAGTGTGCAGGCGACTGCTGCAGTCTGGTACACGCATGTGTCCTACAGAGTGTGGGCAGGTGGTTGCAGCAGGTAGGTGTCTGCTTAGAGTACAAGATCGCTGGAAGATGACTTTATGGGAAATTTGGCAGCTCTTGTCTGTCTGTTGATAACACTGACACTGTATTTAGCAAGAATATAAACAGTAACCAGTTACAATGCACTGTATGTATTGAATGTAACTATATATAACTGAAGAATTTATTGTAGAATTATGACAAGATTTCAGAGAAAAGCTATTCCTCTCGTCTTCATTTTACAGTAATTCATTTCATTGTGGAGTGTTTCTAAAGAATCTTAAATTTTTGAAGGGCAACCCAGAGACATGTGAACTGAAATCAATGGAACAATAAGCTGAATCCATGATGCTAATCATACATTTACACACATTTTATTTTACTACAGTTTATAAATGTTTGTGAAAACAGCCATCTTGTTTATAATGCTCTGAACAATTAAATAAAAGTTAGTCAAATCAGCTGCAGGATAAATGAGGTTGCCAGACATTTTCATTTTCTACAAAGAAATAATGTATATAAACATAATTTTATTTTCCTAGTTGAATTGTGTATTTGAAAGTTTTTAAAATGATCTTATGCAGTCCAATATTTCAGGGATTGTAATTCTAAATAGCATGAGTTAAACTTTTAGAGTTACAAGAGTTGGAAAGAGCTATTTAAGCTACTTCTTTTTGGAGAAAATGGAAGAGTGAAATTGAAGAAAGAAAAAAAAACTAGGAGGAATGAACTCTCATTAGAGCATTCTGAATATTGAAGTGCTATTTTTGCTTGTTATTCTCTTTCATTCCTAAATTAGGCTGGAGGATATTGAGTAGCACTCACTTTAGTCCTAGTACTCTTAGAATGAATCATTTTCATATTCACTGTGATAAAGTTATTTCTACCGTAAGAAAGGCTAGGAACTATGCAGACCTTAAATACAAATGATGGTGTCTGCAGTACTTTGAAATTTGTAGCTATTGCAGTTAAGCTCTCCAAAGAAGGAAAATAAAGTGTCTGAATTATTTTAAAAAAGAATACATATCAAGCACTTAGAATATAAATGAAAAAAATACAATAGAAAAAATTAAAATATAGAACATGTAGTCACAATATATTCTTTTTTTTTAAAAAAAAAGGTTGCTATATTTTGCAGAAATGAGTCCCATATTTCATTATACTTATCCATACAAAGCCTACATTATAGGTAACCCGCTCATAAGTAGCAAGTGTCTTCAATCCATTGAGTAAATAGGCCATACATTCATCTTTCCAATGTTGTAGTATCAGTCTTTTAGCTATAGTAAGGAGATGGAGAATCCCCTTACTAATCCACTACTTTCTCTTACTAAGTATAGGACATTGTATGTTTTAAAGAAGCATTGTCTTTATTACATCTCCAACAGAATGGTGTCCTGGACAATCCTTTTCTGTACAGAAGTAATGGAGTCCAATAAATTCTGAATATTATCTTTTGTGGTATATTTCATAATTGAAGATCCAATGATACTCTTGCTATAGAAGTTACACTCATTTTCTAGGCAATATAGGAACCTCTAACTCTTTATGCCACTCAGTCCTTAACATTTGCATATCAAATTGATTGATAGAGAACAAATATCTGTAAAAATTGACTTATGACTGATCACATAAAAGAACAAAGAAAGCTCTTTATATGTATTTTTGTGTTTTGTTCCTTTTGTTTTTTGTTTTTTTCTGCTATTATTTTAAAAGCAACAAAAAAATTAAAATCTGAAGTATTTCTTCTGGAATGATAGAATTTGTCTCAACTAATTTGGATCAGCTGATATTTTAAAATAGACCCAGGGGTGCTATTCAGCAGTTTTATCCAGGGGTGCTATTCAGCAGGTTCTGATATGTTCTGGAGAACCGGTAGTGGAAATTTTGAGTAGTTCAGAGAACCGGCAGATACCACCTCTGGCTGGCCCCAGAGTGGGGTGGGAATGGAGATTTTATAATATCCTTCCCTTGGAGTGGGGTGGGAATGGAGATTTTACAGTATCCTTCCCCTGAAGTGGGGTGGGAATGGAGATTTTACAGTATCCTTCCCCTGGAATGGGGTAGGAATGAAGATTTCACAGTATCTTTCCTCTGCCATGCCCAACAAGCCACGCCCACAGAACCGGTTGTAAAAAAAATTGAATTCCACACTGGTTTTATCCCTTCAAATGCCTAATTCAGGCATTCCTATATAATACATAGCACACACATAATATGTTTCTTTTGTTCTGGAAGTTTCTGTTTCCTATTCAGGTTGCCCTGGTGAAAATGGCTGAATATGCTAGAAGGTGGCAGTGCCAAAAATGTATGTTTATAGATTTATATGTTACAATGTACTGTATATAACTACAGGCAGCAAACAAGACATAAAGCCAAAACAAAACAAAACACAAAAATTCTATGGTCTAAAAATATTCCACTTCCAATCATAGGATTAGAACTAAATAAACCCAACAACTAACCTCCCAAGCCTAAAGTCTGAGAGAACATGGATATCTACAAGAAAAGTAGTTGAGTAGCTTCAATGCTTTAATTGTACTGCCATTTTTAAAAATGTTTTTGTCTACTTGACATTATTATTGCTGCAAAACTGGATAATTTTAAAAAGCTGAAAATCACTTGGATTATGGTGGGATAGAAATGGAATAAATAATTCACTTGAAATATGAATGTTTTGATGCTTTTGAATACATGTGTAGATGGTGTTAGGAAATGAACAATAAATAAACTATCCTTCAGTTCTGTACAAGTTCTCAAACTTCCATGCCACACAGTCATTGCTTAGGTCCTGGTCTGTTATCAGTGGTGTATCTATATATTTTCAGTCAGTACAGTACGAAAGGAAGGAAGGAAAGGAGTCCCTGTGAATTTTACTCTGCTAGTTGTTGTCAACTATAGGGGGCAGCACTCATCTCCAATTGATGTGAGCTAGCGCTGTCTGAAGATGTTTCTGTGGTCATGTGGCCAGCATGATGTCATGGAAGGCTGTTTCCTCCCCATCAAAGTGGTACCTATTTATCTACCCACATTTGCATACTTTCAAACTGCTAGGTGGGCAGGAGCTAGGCAAAGACGTACTCTTACCCCGTTGTGCAACACCCGAGTCTGCACCAACAAGCCCAGCATCTTAACTGCTGAGACATTGCACTGCCAGCCCAGATTCCTTGAGTATTTATTACTTTTATAAGAGGACTCTTGCTACAGAGTCAGGGTTTGTTTTAAGAAACTGCCAAATCAAAAAGAACCTGATCTTTCAAGAGTTAGCTTAATTACCCAGTCTCCCAAATAAGTCTATGAAAGTTTAAAACTAAGCATTTGTATGATTTTTCCTAATTCTTTATGAAAGATAATCCTTTTTCTCTCAATTCATTTATTTTCAACTAAACAAAGATTAATCTTTGATAGAGGACTTTTACTCAATACAGGCAACTAAGCAGACATAAGGAACAGCTTCTAATGGTTTTCAGATATTTTATGTATTCTTGGTTTACTATAAATGTTGCATTCTTGCAAGTCAGCCATTCCTGCTCAAATGGTAATTCATTCTTTCTTTCTTTTCTTTCTTTCATTCATTCAATTTCTATAGCTACCAATCTCAGTCAATGACTCTAGGCTGCTTTCAATTCAAAAAATATTACAAGTAAAAATACTAAAAATATTTTAAAACTGTAAAACATTCTAAACAAACTACAAAAACATGCAATGGTCTGTTTACTAAGATGTATGAAGCAGGAGCTTCCCTGATGAAAAACTAAACTCAAAAGGCTTCACAGTTTGGTAAAAAGAAACCAGAAATCCCAGCTCACAGATTAACTAACTAAAGAAGAAGCTTCTATGTTTGTTTAGCCTTTTTTTGGGGAAGAATTAATTCATAGTAAGCCAGAAAATTTCATAGTTTTGGCATATGGGGAGATACAAAATTTCAGTTTCATGTAGCTTTTCAACAGTTTCCATATTTTCCTTCAGTAGCTGCTTGTTAGGAGAATTTCTAAAATGTGTTTTGCATTTTGTGCATTATTACTTTCTAAAAAATAATGTAGCTATCACTTTTTTTTTTTCATTTTAATAGATTGCTGAAGCTGGAAAAGAATCCTTGCCTTCTTGGTTGCACTGGGAACCGGAGAGCAGAACCTTGGAAGGTCTCCCACTTGAAACAGATAAAGGCATTCATTATATCTCAGTGACTGCAGTGCATCTGGTATCTAATGGAAGCTATGTGCCCCAAACCACCAATGTCTTTTCAATTGAAGTTCATCCTGAAGATCATAATGAACCTCAGTCAGTACGGGTGGCTTTACAAGATGTGAATGAAGCATCACCATTTGTGTGTAGTGCTGAGGAACCAGTCACCATCTTGACTGTCATTTTGGATGCTGACTTAACAAAAATGACACCAAAGCAGAGGATTGAACTTTTGAACAGAATGAAAACCTTCTCAGAAGTGGAACTTTATAACATGAAATTAGTTCCTGTTGTAAATAATAGACTCTTTGACATGTCAGCCTTCATGGCTGGGCCAGGGAATGCTAAGAAGGTGGTGGAAAATGGAGCCTTGCTATCATGGAAACTGGGTTGTTCACTGAGCCAAAACAGTGTTCCCAACATAAGTAATGTTGAATCTCCAGCTAAGGAAGGAACAATGTCTGCTCATCTTGGTTACCCTGTGGTTGGTTGGCACATTGCAAACAAGAAACCTAATCTTCCAAAGAGAATAAGACGGCAGATTAATGCTACACCAACGCCTGTGACTGCTGTTGGACCTCCAACATCTGCCCCCCAAGAACCACCAAGTAGAATTGTTCCAACACCAACTTCTCCAGCCATTGCACCTCCTACTGAAACGAGAGCACCTCCAGTAAGAGAGCCTGTACCATTGCCTAAGAAACCCACAGCTACTATTAGAACAAGAGGTGCTATTATTCAGACACCCACTCTTGTCCTAGTCCCAACCAGAACAGTAGAAGTAGATACTATTACTTCTGGCCAGATTCGACCAACAACGCCTGGGCAGGTAGACGCTACTGCTGTTGTTACACCTCCCACAACAAAGAAGCCCAAAGGAACAACTCCAAAAGTATCAACACCCTCAACAACTGATACAGGAACAACACGAAGACCAAGACCTTCAAAAACTCCTCGACCTCCAAAGCCTCCTCGGACTACTAAACCAAGCATTGTTGAAAAAACAGTTTCACCACCAACTCGTATTCGCACTACTACAGTTGGAATTCCCCGTGTGCCCAATGATCCACCAGTGTTGAAAAACCATATTGACAGGGTAGATGCATGGGTAGGCACATACTTTGAGCTCAAAATACCTTCTGACACTTTCTATGACAAAGAAGATACTACCACTGATAAACTACAACTGACTATGAAATTAGAAAATGAGAAAGCTTTGGAGGAAAGCTCCTGGGTGCAGTTCAATAGCACTAGTCAACTAATGTACGGATTACCTAATCACACCCATGAAGGCAGACATGAGTTTTTTATGCATGCTACAGACAAAGGTGGCCTTTCAGCTGTGGATGCTTTTGAAATATTTGTCCACACTCTTGAAGATGATGAGATACCTCCAGTTAAATTTAAGGCCAGATTCCATGGAGACCATAATATAGTAGCCAATGACATTAATAAAAAAATTATGTTGGTAAAGAAGTTGGCATTTGCTCTTGGTGATAGAAACAGTAGTACTATTACCATAGAGAATATTGGCAAAGGTTCTATTTTAGTTGAATGGACAAATAATACTCTGCCTTTGGATCCATGCCCCAAAGAAAAGATTCTCATCTTGAGTAGAAAAATTTCTGATGAATCTGGAGTTCCAAGCACAGTCTTTTCAAATACCCTAGAACCAGAATTTAAGCCCATCGATATTTCTGTAGTTGGTGCTGGTAGCTGCAAACACATTCAGTTTATTCCTGTGACTAAAGATGGCTTCCCTACAACTGTCCGTCCCACAGAAATTGTTCAACGAGATCCGGAAAAGACAAGTGAAGACGATGTTTACCTGCACACCGTAATTCCTGCAGTAGTGGTGGCAGCCATTTTGCTTATAGCTGGCATTATTGCTATGATTTGTTATCGCAAAAAGAGAAAAGGCAAACTCACTATAGAAGACCAGGCCACCTTTATCAAGAAAGGAGTACCAATAATCTTTGCAGATGAGCTGGATGACTCCAAACCTCCCCCTTCCTCTAGCATGCCATTGATTCTGCAGGAAGAAAAGGCTCCTCTCCCTCCCCCTGAGTATCCAAATCAAAATATGCCAGAAACAACTCCACTGAACCAGGATGTCATAGGCGAGTATACCCCTTTGCGGGATGAAGACCCTAATGCCCCTCCTTATCAGCCTCCCCCTCCTTTCACAACACCCATGGAGGGTAAAGGTTCCCGCCCGAAGAACATGACCCCATACAGGTCTCCACCTCCCTATGTCCCTCCTTAATGAACCAGAGACATCCACGGAGATGGAGCCTTTAGTTCCACACCAGTGTTATCTATCGGGATCAATGGCCTGCAGATCTGTTGCCAACTAGAAAACCAACATTCAGAATCTCAAACATTGCCTGATCCCAGCAGGCCCCTCTCCGAGTGCATTTGCAAAACCAGAGTGCTTGTGGAACTTTTGGGACACTGATTTTATTTTTGCCTAACAGCTTATGTTTTGTTTATTCATAGAAAAAAAAATCCTTCTTGGCTCAAAATATTTCTGACAGCAGGCGTCTCAAAGCATTTTGTGCAAAGGGAGACTGGACATGCAGGCAGCACTAGGGGTGGCACACTGGGTCGGTCTCTGCTGTTTGCCTTTAAAACTAACTGTACTGTCTTTTCTATTCACGTGTGTCTAGCTACAGGGCATAACATGAAACATAGCCTAAGAATTAAATTCAAAGGACTTTATGAAATCAATATTAAGTTTTTACACTTAATTACTGTTACCGAAACGTATCTGTATAGATTTGGGAAAGGAGGGAAGTGCTTTACTACAAATAAGCTCAAAGGGTGTTTCCAATGCCAATCAGGCTGAGGAACCATCTTTTTTTATCAAAGGAATCCTATTTTTTCACATATTATACAGTTCAATCATCACCTGGGGTCCTTTCTGCAAACTGTAGCGCTCTTGTTTCTCTAGCCTGCTGTTGCTTGACAGATGGCACAAGTATCTTTAACAACGGAGTTTGAAGTACCTTTGCCATTATCAAAAAGCAGAATTATGGAGTAATGTTGCTGCCTTTTGGAAAGTGGAGGCCCAACAGTGGTATCTGTAGACTGCAAAGGGTCATGGTGCTGCACTGAGATTTTTCCATCTGGAAGGTATACTTTGGCTTTTGAAACACTCTTGAGGTATTTTGGTGAAGATGCAATATTTTTACGGAGTGTAAGGCGGTTTCCTTATATGAACTCCTTCTGGGCCCACAGTATTGGAACAGCCCCTTGTCCCCCCTACCGTTCCGGTTGTCCCAGCTCACTCCCTCACTGTTTTCTATTGCATACTGATGCAGTAGAACCGGCCTGACCTATGGCAAAAGTAATAACAGATGCCAGAAGCAGTTCTTAATAAACATCAATGAACTCTCAGCTCTAATTTTTTTACTAAATTTTTGATACAGCGTCAAATTTTATTAATTATAAAAAATAATTAATAGTGGTAATGCTGCCAGCAGTTTGTATGAGCTTAGCTTCTTAGTATCAATTCACTGGGTCTGATGCTATGCTCATGTTGCTTCCCCCCCCCCTTTTTTTTTTTTTTTGGTCTTTCATTGTTTCAAATATTAGAGCCATGTCTCGGTTTCTTGCCTTTTTTAAAAAAAAACCTGAACTTCCTTCTCGGAAGTTGGAGCTACTCCCAGGGTTGCTCCCAGCTTTTTTTTCTTTAGACAAAATCATTTTACGCATGGATTTTTTTTTTTCCTTGTCCTTTGAGACTATCTTGGGTACACTAGAGGGAGGATAAATCTTTTGCAATAATGAGTCCATCCCCTGGCTGGGGGCTGGGCAGCCTCTGGCTGACTTTGCACACAAAGCAGACACTTCTAAGCCATATTGACTGTTTTGCAAAGTATTTTTGTGTGCTGACATGGCCTGTTAACATGCTAGTGGATGAATGGCTAAAATGACCTTCACCTCTGAACTTGTTACGGTGGCATTTTTCATCAAACCTCTTTTGAAATATGCGAACAGAATTTAAAACCTGAAAATAAATATTAATTTTGCTCTCCCCCATAGACCTGTGCCCCCACTCCGAGAGGGCTAGAAGGATATGTGTTGAAGTGAGGGTAACTATAGATTTGCCCTAGAAAGTTTCTTTATGCCCCCCAATCCCTGATGCTTGAATATTGTCCTGTGCTTGCTGTAAAGACAAGACAGGCTCTGGGACACTTTTCCCCACCCAAAAGAGGTCAAGGAAGATCATTAAGTGGCGTCAGGTAAGGCACAGTGCATTTGGATAGATGCACTTTGGAAGTAGTTAGTAAGCTACTCCTCCCCACTCCCCGAGTTACCACTTTGATGCCAACATCTTTACTGGCTGGCCCACATTTCAAGATGTCCCCCACTTTTATCAACACACACAGCCTCCTAAGCCTAAATGCTGCAAGCTTGAAGGGCCTTCCAAACAGTGCCGTTGTCCCTAGCAACTGATACCACTTTATTACTGGTCATGCGCAAGCGCAAACAATTTCAGGCCTGGGCCTACCTGTCACCATAGAAACTGGAGGCAAAGGGGCAGTGAACAGAATAATAACAATGGCATTCTCATCAGCTGGTTTCCCCTAAGCACCAGTGCTGTTTGTTTATGCCACTAGACACTGTAATGGTGGGAGAAAATCTTGTATTAAAAAGTGTTCACCAACCACTGATGTGTTTTTATGTCCTTATATAATTATTTTAAAATGTGTTTTCTGCATTATGTAAAGAAACATATCAACTAAATAAACCAGTGTACTTTACTATAAACTCAGAAGTTATAGAGCTCTTCCATTGGATCCACAGGATTCTCAGCACACAATAGTTGAAAAACATCCGATAGAGGTGTTGCATAAAATTTAGCAGAATTATCCCAGATTGTTTGAGCACTGTGTTACACAGTGATGGCTGTGAGAGAATGTTGTGGTATTTTTTAAGGAATTCCAGGTATTTTTAGTGTTGATTTCAAAAGCCTTCCCAAAGGTGGGGCTGGTAGAGCCTCGGAGTTTCAGCCAACACACCTAGTTGCCATGAGATTGGGATTAGTTTAAAAAACTCTGTAGCTGCCTTAAATCTTCCACCAGTGAGTGCAGGAAATTTAAGGATCAAAAGTGATAAGGAGGACACAATAACAAAACTTCAAATTATATTAAGGAAAGTAAGGACTCTTCAGACACGATTGTAAATCATATCATAGACTCATGGGGTTGGACAGGACCTTGGAAGAAACAACGTAAATGAATAAAAAAATTAGAGGCCATGAACGTGTTTTAGTTCTGCCTGCTCCTTCCACCTTTTGCCCAATGAGAAATTAGTAGTCCTAAAGTTTCCATGCTATTGTTTAAATTCAAATTCTCAGTAAAGGAGCTGCCACAGCAGAGATTTCTGGAATATTTTCTGAATGCTTGGGATTCCTAGGCTGGGATTCTCCATGTTAATTGCAAAATCAGATGATGATGGTAGTGATTAATGTACACTGTCCATGAAAATGCTCCACAAGCATGATTCATCCTCTTAACACTCTGAAGTAACCTCAAGGACCTATTTTAAAGATGAAAAGCATTATAGCATAATTAAATCTTCATTTTTAACATTCTGTGGCAGTTTCCCAACCAGTCTTGCAATTGCTTGCTCCCTCCATCCAGTAGCAGCCACTTGCATGCCTACTAAGAAGGGAAGGAGAGGAAGGAAAACAAAAAAGAAGGAAGGTAGATTTCTGATGTTTTCTGCCACATTCTCACAAGAAACTCGATAGGCACACCAGCAGGAAATTGCTTCTGCTCCCACTGTCCCGTCCCGTCCCCCGGTCATTTTCTTTCTCTGCTCTGCTATCTCTGGAGCAATAACCCAACAACCAAGGACTATGACTCTTACTGTTCTCTAGGTTTCCTCAAACACCAGTTCTACCATTGTTATGGTAGAGGACCATTATTATGGTCCTCAACCAGCAAGAACAGATTGGAGAGGGGGAATAGGAGCTCATGGAGTCAGTTTAGGTGATCTCTTCCTGTCTTTAGCAGGCACGAGAGATAATTTAGATTCAGTAAAAACAATTTATAAATGAAAATTGTATTCACTTTGCTACATTGACTATTCAGTGAAAGTTGCTGGCCCTTTCAAAAGCTGTATCTCTTTAATGCAGAGTAGGCTGTTTTTAATAGATCGTTGCAATTTCACTTTCATTAGGAGAGGAGCATGCTTTTCCTCTGTGACTAGAAGCAAGTTTTTCTGTTCCTTTGGAGATTGTAGGTCAGAGGGATGACAGGAAGATGATAAAATTGAATTTCTTGACCATACTTTATGATATGTCTTCACTGATTCCAGATTTAATATTTTCTTAAACTAGTTATGCATTCAGATTAATTCTATGCTGTAATATTTTTACTTAAGCTTCAAAATTGATAAATATCTAATTGGGGGATAATCCTATATGCATTCATAATTCATGTATTTGTATTTGCTTTAGTCAGGAAGACTTAAAGTTCATATTAACATTCTTTCTGTATCCCTAAGGCACAATTCTTTGCTTACTTAGCACACTGGAAGCCCCATTTAATGCAGGCAAACTAATTTCTAAGTAAATAGGAACATGATTACACCTTATGTTTATCTCACTTTTAAAGGAGTAAGAATATATTTCATATTCTTTTTTAACTATTGGTTTCCCCCATATAAAACAGGAAGTCCTCAGTTACAATCATTCATTTAGTAAACAAAGTTACAAAGGTGCTGAAAAAAGTGACTTATGATCGTTTTTCACACTTACGAACATTGCAGCATCCCGATGGTCAACTCATCAAAATTCATATGCTTGGCAACTGGCATATATTTATGACAGTTGAAGAGTCCCAGGGTCTCGTAATCAACTTTTGCAACTTTCTGACATGCAAAGTCAATGGGGAAGCCAGATTCATTTAACAATCATATTATTAACCCCTGCAATGACACAACGACGGCAAGAAAAATGGTAAAATGTGACAAAATTAACTTGACTGTCTTGCTTAGCAATGGAAATTTTAGGCTCAATTGTCATAAGTAGAAGACTACCAATATTGTGAAAAAGCTTGACAGGGCCTCCAGCTCTTTAATTCAAAAGTTCCTGCAGATATATCCAAATATGGGTAGACATACATGATCCAAATCATGCAATCAGATTATCTTTTAATGTAATATATTGCCTTTGCACAATAATCCAAATTCTTCGTGAATATTTCATTTTAAAAATGTGGGTAGCAAAAAATTAATACCCCATTAGCCATGAACTCAAAATAAATTTTAAGAGGTGGGAGGAAAGGTAGGTAAGAAAAGAATTGACTTGAAATTCTCAAACTAGGAGTATCCTAGGGTCTATCATTGGAGCATCCCAGCATCTTCCCTATATGTCTGACAGTGCCTAATGCTGAAAATATAAATTAATTTTGCATAAAAAGGAACCAAGGCCACTGCCAAGATATCAAAAAGATAATATAACACCTTTATTATTGGTCCTGAACTGCAAAGGTTTTGTAAATTAAATCATTTGAATTACAGATATGCCCAGTGATGAATGTATCCCTTCTCTCCCATCATATGGAAGCTATACTTTGAATATAGTAAATTGGGGAAGAGCATGTTTAATTATCAATCTGTTTAAAATACCTTAAATCTCGGTTGTTTTCCCACATCATTGTAAATAAATTGGTTAAATTTTTTAAAATTCTGGTTAAAATCCCAGCTTAAAATCTTCTAAAAATCCTTACAGAGCTGCAAGGTCCTTTAAAACCTCAGCTAAAATCCTACTAGTGATTTTAAAAGTTTTTCTTATAGCAACGTTTCAACAGGCTCACAACCCTGTCATCTTCAGGCTCTTGTTCCGTTTAGAAGCTATGGGTTCTCTGTTGCGAGGTCGGAGCTGTCGCTTATCTATATTTGCTGCTGCTGATGTATGCTGGCTAGCCTGCAACTCTGTGTCCCGATTGGAGGACAGCAGTTTTTCTTTTAAACACCCGAGATTTTAATTTTTTTGCATATGCACACCTGCGAAAACTTAAGAAGACAAATATTTATATATATATAAATATATCTATATATATATTATATATATATATATAAGAGGCGATAGACATCACGATCTCCGGAACATTTAAAAGTTTTAAATTTTTTATTTTAAAACTTGTGCTAAGCTTTCGTCGGCCCCTACCGACTTCGTCAGAGTATAAAATCCCCATTGAGGAGTTGCTTGCTTTTATGTAATGCTGATCAATTTAGTCATTGCGCGTGTAACAGGCCCACACCTTTGCCTTCCCCCTGTAATTATCTTTTTTTTTCTGCCTTAGTTCATGCTAACAAATGACGATGCACTTCCCCCTGCCTCCTTCCCCATTGTGTGTTGCCTCTTTCTCTCCCTGGGGGGTAACGCAGGGTTATCAGGCATTGCTTTGAAGGTATTTCTCCCGGCCCCCTCTCCCTCATTGTTATGCCTTTCCCTTTTAGGCATACACGTTGCCTCCTCTAAACCCATTTGTTTTACCCATGATCTTGTGATGGGTCTGCGTTGTTCTTCCTTACCCCTCCTATCTTCCTCATTCTGCTGTTTCCCTAACCTACTCTCTTGCCCTCTTTCAGGGTTTATCACACCTTCATTGGGCCAATCTCCATGCCTAAAGGAGGAGATTTGTCCCCGATCTCCATTCAGTCTTAGTGATCGGTCCTCCTTAAGTCTTTCCTGGTGCTGTAAAGCCTGGTATGCTGGTGGTATGTCAATATGTCTATTGAGGGAGTTGTTGTTAGAGAACCAGGCTTCTTTCAAGAGGCGCCCTCCTTTTGTTTTGTCGTGGGCAACGACTTCAGTCTCTTAGAATTTGAACTCGTGACCATGCTCCTCCATATGCATCCAAATCTGGGAGCGCTGTTCCTTACGTCTGACCGCTAGTTTGTGCTCATGCACCCTCGTTTTCAGTCGTTTTGATGTTTCTCCTATGTAATGACCTGCGCAATTGCTGCAGTTAATACAATAGATGATTGAGGAAGTCTCCTCCTTTGGCAAAGCTTCTTTCGGGCGCATTACTCTCTTCCTCAGTGTTTGGTCAGGTCTGTGTGCCACTTTAACCCCATGTGGTGCAAGGATGTGTGCCGCAGTTTCGGACACCCCCTATATGTAGGGGAGCACCCTCCACGTTGATGTTCCACATACGCCCTCCATGGGCTGCCGGGCCCTGGGTGTAATACATCGATGGATAAAATCCCTATATATATATATATATGAATGTTAAATCAATATCCATTTTTAAAGTTTCTTTTCCATAAACTCATTTGGATCTTGAAACATCTGTTTATATTAAAACTGAGATAAAGAATTTATTTGCACTAATTATTTCAAGAATTATTGAACAAATAAATAAATATAAATATTTATTTAAACTATCCTTTTACCAATTTCCTTAAGTTAATTAAAGCCTATGGGAAGTATCTGAGATTTATTCTGGTTTATTTAGTAATCTGATACCGGTATGTATCAAATTTTTGATCCTTATCAGTAAATGTTACTGTGTTTAACTCAGTAAATACAGTAAAAAGTGTTTATCATTTCTATACCCTGATTATCCTTATTCTGCTGGGCAAGACAAGTCGTTGTTTCCAGTATCAAATTAAACAGAATATCAGAGAATGAGTATCCTTGATTAAATAGTTCTATTTGTGAAAGCCCTGGCCAAAGAATGGAAATAATACACAGTAATCCAATTCATAGAAAAAGGAAATCCATATTTATCTAAAACTTCCTTCAAAAATTA